CCATACCCCTCAAGACAATCAAGGAGGCACAGATACCCAGTAAGACAGTTGATAAGTTAAAGCAAGACTCAGTTTAAGTACCACTATCATGGAGATTTTACTGCATTGGTCAAAATACTGATAACATATGACTAAGTACTGAGATGTTCATGGAGCACCGAGATTAAAATATAAGTGAAATGCTGGAGAGAGAGCAAATTGTAATTAGTTTCTAGGATATAGTTTTAGAACTTAAAACAATCTTTCAGTCTTTTTTAATTAGAAATCACAACCTTATGCGTGTATAACCCGTTTATGTATCTCCTTTCTTAGCTTCAGTGCACTTATATTTATTAATTTTAACAAAACCATACCATTATGGGGAAATATTCAATTGACTGTCGTAAAACCAAAACCAAGGTAATCACCCTGGCCAGTCTCAAAACACACAGACAGTCGAGTGAACCAATCAAAATTAATTCAAGGGAATACATGCAGCTGACGCAAAGCACGGGAAAACTTATGCCAGTGAGTCGCGATTGGTTTTGATTTTACTTCTGATTGGATGACGAGTGGCGCGAGTGTTTTTTAGCCAATTGCTCAACGTGATTATGCAAAACAAAGCAAATGCGAATTCCTTTCGATACTGAAGTGAAAATCGCTCTATTTAGGCTTCCGTCAATAAAAAAATGTCTTTTATTTGATAAGGGTTCGATGCCATGTTCAAGATAGGGTTACTCTAAATTCAAAGATGAGAAACATATGCACTTAAAAACCTTGTGTGATTAATGTCTATGTACATGTATATGGCAATTTAAGGTCATGCTATCTTTATCTCAGATGCACCATCACCTGTAAGAAAAGTTTCAGTGAGAACTTTGGGTAAATGCAAGGTGAATCTTACATGGAGTGCTCCAAGAGACAATGGCTGTCCGCTTAACAAATATACAATATACTACAGAGAGATTCTACTGACAGAGGATGACACTCCGCAGTGGCATGAAACCAGTATAACTAACGTTGCCCAGACATTCAGTGGTCTTTCTTGGAAGTGTGGCCGGCAATACGAGGTCACAATGACTGCTTCTAACGACGCGGGAGAGAGCAACAAGTCACATCCATTGCGTATAAATTTTACAGGTATTTCAAGAGTACCCATTAGATGTTGTCTTACGCAAACTATTTGATGGTGAGCTCATTCAGGGTGGCAGGGAAAGCATAGTACTCGGAGAGCTCGCCTCCTAACAGTATGGTCCGGTTCCGAATCCCGACCCTGGCGACATTAGCTATTGAGGCGAGGGGCAAAGGAGGTTAAAGATGTCCTATCTTAAGCCTTACAAATCCGCCGGGTGAAAGACATTACATTCACAATAAGCGACAGAACAATCATTATGCACCCATGAAGTTTCATTTATTCATTAGCTTTGCCGTCTATTAGACAGCATTTTTTACGTTATTAGCCTCCAAATCTCAAACGCAGACTATCCGATCTCTTTAGCGGCTGAAAAGCAAACAAATGTTGAATGAGGTGAATTAGATCTGATTCTTTTTACTGAGAACGTTTTCCTGGTTTAGACTAAGATTTTCCAACTGTATCATAAAGCTGGCTGTAATAGAGTGCCGAATGAGAAGGGGTAAATTTTCAGAGCCACCTTAAAATGCAAGATTTGACACGATACAAGTCTATAATAGGTGTCTGGTGCAGTTGCAAATCTTCAGTAAAGAAATATTACACACTTTAATTCTTATTCATCAGGTGGCAGCAGCATGGGAAACAACAACAACAACAGTAATAGTAATAATAATAATGGTATTTTGGCTGGTATAAATACGTCGATTGTAATCTTAGCTCTCCTGATTGTGACGATACTCGTCCTAAGATGGAAGAAGAAAAGAAATGCGCTTGCGAGTACACGGTAAGGAAAGCGTTTTGTTGTACGTGTTTTATTTAGTTTTAGTGTGCCAACCTGAAACGACAAGGCATTTTCTTCAAGAACCCAACCGTTGTTATGGGAATTCACTAGAGACTAAGGAACTTTCTGGTTCTGAATGACTTTGTTCGTTATAGCCTTAACAAAGCTATCGTCCAGCAAAAGTTCCAGAAAAAAAGTTACCTTGGAATGCTGAACTTATAGGAGGCCATAGTTGACACAACCAGGTTAAACTAGCGCAGGATAGAGTAAGATGAAGAGGAATTATTGATGACCTATGTTCCAATATGCAGAGTACACACAAGTTAGTAAGTACGTCCCTTGGGCAATTATTCACTTTACTTATATTTTGTTTTGTTTTGTTCGTCTTCATTAGGCGATAGAAAAATCAGCAAGGGTCCTTTACTGTTTATGTGCTTGTTCGACGAAATCAGAAGTTCAACTAGGCTCGATTTCCAGCTGCTGATCGGGAAAGGAGCTCGCGCTCGTCACCGAAGCTAGACTTGACATGAGAGAGCCGCAGAAATCGAGTCTAAGGCTCGAGTTCAACGCTCTTGAGAATTTAAAAAAAGGTCAAGATAAAATTGTTAATTTTTTTTCAGATCAAAGTACGAAATCGTTCCACTTCTGCCCCAGGAGATTCCTCCACAGCGAGTCACGTTTATGGAGGAGCTCGGCCGTGGAGCTTATGGCAAAGTTCACAAAGCAGTTCTGACACAACCTTTTGGTGTTGAGGTGTTTTTTAAACCCAAGGAAGAGAGAGTTGAAATGAAGGAAGGCAGGATTGTTGCTGTTAAAACTTTATTAGGTAACAATTTCACTGATGTTGTATTGGTCTTGTTGGGAAATGCAACAGCCCTGGGTTAAAATGCGCTTCAGATCCCGTTGTTTTGAGCGGGTATTGGGGTGGGTTTGTTCAACAAAAAACAATTATTGGATTAGGTTTTTGTGATATCCAGAATAATCAAGTTCGAGGTAGGGGTTATTAGGCGAATCCGAAGGCTGAGGCTGATAACCCTTACCGAGAACTTGATTATTCTGGATATCTCAAAAACCGAATCTGATAATTGTTTTATTATACATTGAACGAAAAAAAAATGGAAGTCATTTTTGCTCTTCTTCATTGACAGCCAGCAACACAAAGCGCGCAAAGTTGACATGATTTTCCTTAGAAATCATGCACCGCGGTCATACATGACATGATTACCCGTGACCTTGAGTGTCCTTGACGTGACTATTGTATAATCTGCACTAGATGACGTCACAGGCGCTGATTTCGAAAATTCACTGTACGCTTTCGGCCAATGAGAAAAGAGTTGGTGAGTTCAATGTATAATAGTTGTATTAATTTGATAGGTAATACTACTTGTCTTTTTTTCCGAATAGAATTCCCAAATTTCTTCTTCTTGTGCCTATGTCAGTATTTCTTCGATGTTCGTGTAAAGTAATCTTCTTTCTTTGCTTTACTGACTTTTATAAAATTCTTCATTTACTATATGATTTGGATGTTTCTTATTTCAATCTTCAGAAAGGTACACCGAGGAAAGGAAAAATCAGCTTTTGAAAGAGATCGAGTTCATGAAACAAATCGGATCTCACAGGAATGTTCTGAGTATGTTCGGTTACTGGGTTATGTCAGAACCCATCATGCTAATCTTGGAATATGTTCCACACGGCGATCTTCTTCAGTGGCTTCGAAACAAAAGGCAACTGGTAGGTTTTGCATACTTGAGCTTACTTGCTCTACCTTGGTAATAACAATTTCAGTTTCAGTCTCTGATGGCAATGATATCCGAACGATCCAATGGCAGACCACTTTTAACTCAATTATGACAATACTTTATTGAATTCACCCACGGGGGCTTTCCAGACTTTAATTATACACAAGTTATAAAAAAACAAACCTGACACTATATTAACGCTCCTTAGAATTTTCAAAAAGTTTAATTCTTTTAAAAGTGTCAATCTGTATAACGCTCTCAGGCAGATTTTTCCACATTGTAACTGCTAAATACAAAATATATATATATATATAGCGTTGGCCTGCAGATGGTCAGCTCATAGAATTCTTATTTCTAGTGTTGTGACTGTAACAGTTTGATCTTGGGGTAAACTGTTGTTCAAGTACCGTTGAGCTAAGCCCTTTTCAGGTTCCCAATTCATTATTTTTCAGTAAACGGGCCTACAGCCCGGAAGAGGGAAGGAGACCCGAAAAATGGGCGCATGCCTCCTGCCTTAAGTCGAGTGAACTGTTGCAGTAACTAGCTTTATAAGTAAATTGCAATCAGTTGCCTTTCAATAGGAGCTAACAGGTAATGAGACATTTTCCCCTCAAATTCAGTTCAAGCTCAAGAACCGCAATGACTGGAATGTTTTCGGAGAACTAACCTGTTGTGTAAGTGATCATGTCGACGAGTCATCTATTTTCTGCAAAGAAGAAAACGAAGAGGGTGAAGATGACGACGAAACGTTAAAAGAGGGTGGGGAAGGAAGCACTAAAGAAGAAGCAGTCTTGAATGAAGGAGAATGTGAGATATCCAGCTTAGAGGAAACAGAACCACTAACGGCTGAAAGAAATCTTGCACTCGGGAAAAACGAAAAAATGAAACAAAAGGAGGAAAACGCCCAGTTAAACGTAAGTCGTGAAAAAATAAATGGAACTGACATCGAGCTAGCTGGGGACATTAGATCTCAGGCAAACACTTCAGAGGGTGAAAGAGAAGCTCTAATAGGGGAGCAGGAAGTGTCGATCGGAGAAGGTACCGATGACAAGCGTTGCATTTCAATAAGTAACCTTGATATCACACTACAATCAAGATCGACGCCAAGTCCGTTTGGGTCCAGTGTAAACGTGACTGAAGAGACAGCAGTTTTAAAGCCTGAGGAAGATGCCGACGAAGGTCTGTCAGCTAAGGATCTTCTTTGTTTCGCGTGGCAAGTTGCACAGGGAATGGTAAGTAATGAGGGAGGGGAAGGACAAGAATGTAAAGTACAGGTTGAAGACTCCTCCCCTTCCCAAAATGTGACGCTGTGGATTATATTTATAGATTAAACTCTTTATCGAAATTACAAATTATTTCGCTTATTAGCCGCGTATTATCGGGAATATTTGTTATTACATTTCGTTACAGTATGCTCAGGGACATGGCATTTGTATCACCTGCTTACATAGTTATACCCCGAGGTATTTTTGTGTGCTCTAATTAACAATTAGCCGGATTATGAGCTCGAGTTGGTGAGGCCGAAAGTCGAATAAACTAATACCCTTTAGATTAAGAGCAAATAATCTATCGTTCTACTAGATTTTTCTAGATTTCTAACCATACATGAAAACATCCTTCAAATAATGATTTCCACTTGTTTCCTCTACACTTCACCGACCTTCACCATCTCGTTTTAGCACAATTACCAACATAAATTCCCCAAAATGTACTCCACAATTTCCAACCAAAATTTCCAAAAAATTAGTGTTCGTTTGCTTTCTAGCTGAAATCTCTGAAATATTTGGTAAAGTGGTCGGTAAAACACCACAAGTGTTCCTCTCAGGGATTACGAATTCAGCGCTTTAATTTAAACAAATTCAATTTTTTTATAGGATTATTTGGCCAGCAAGGGATTTGTGCATCGTGATCTGGCAGCTCGTAATGTTCTTCTTGGTGAGGACAGAGCAGTGAAGATCGCCGATTTCGGTCTCCTATGCCATACCTATGGTGAAATATACGAGACGAAGCACACAAAAAAGCTGCCAATCAAATGGACGGCACTTGAGGCATTACAAAACAGCGTATTCACTTTTAAAAGTGATGTGTAAGTTTGTTATAAATTCAAGTCTTTCAAGTGCCCTGGGAGGGGGACTCCCATTTTAAAAAGTCGGGGATGCTCGTCGCCTCGCTAAGAGGTATTCAGGACAAAATGCCACTATTTTTAGCCGTCAAGGTATCTTTCAGTGTTGCACGCGAAGAAATAATAAAAACAACTGCTGTCTGTTCGGCTTACAGCGGTACCTTTAAGGGTCTTTTAGAGCTTGAGACACGCCAAGTTTTGTCTCTTTTAGGGGCTTGATTCAAATGTTCCGAGCAGCCTCCCCGACCTTTTCGCATGAGAATCCCCGACCTTTTCACATGGCAATTCCTACCTGGGGCAAGTACTCCATCCTTTATCCTTCCATCTGTTCGTGGTGCAGTGTTAGCTGTACTGTCTGTTTATTTTTGTAAATTCCTTTTCAGGTGGTCTTTTGGTGTTTTTCTGTGGGAATTGGCAACCATAGGTAAGAATGGGTGGTTCGTGGTTAAATGTTTCTTTGGACGGCTTGATTGCACAGAAACAGTTTCCTGAGGGGCGCCTTCTAGATCTTACTCAATACATGAAAAACTGTTGGTAACATCATCAAGTGAATCTCTCAGGTATCTTACAAATTATATACCCGCAGGTGTCGACCCTCGTTAGGGTTTTTGAACGAGGTGGAAGGAAACCGGAGGGATAGGGTCTACCATCTAGGAGGGATAAAAACCGTAAAAAGAAAATAAAACTTTATAGTTTTTATAGATCTTTCGCGTAAATAAATCTCCTAGCTTTCCCAATGTATATTGCTGAAGCTGCATGTAAGTTCGAAAAATGTCTGCGGATAACTGGTCCTGAGTGAGAACTTGTGTTGTTCATGTTTGATTAAATCTTTAATTCTAGTTAAAAAGTGAATTATTCTTATCGAAAAAGTAGTTAATGAACTCCTTAACTTTTACCTCGGCGATTTAGACTTCACAACATCTCAACGAACAGTGTTAGATAGTGGGGGAATATATTGCTACAATGAATGAAAGACATAGCATTCACTAGTTCTTTCTTAACTTATATTGTTGTTTCGGCGATCTTAGACATTGCATAAAACATTTCCTTATAATCACCTAATAGGTCACACTCCTTATCCAGGAATTGACAACAAAGAGTTGTTTGATCTTCTTAAGAGAGGATACCGTTTGGAAAAACCAGACTCTTGTTCTGATGAACTGTAAGTAATTGGTTTTGCTTAACAGATTGAGTAGCCATAAAATGGTGATAGCAGATAGCAATTTTTCTGTTAAGTTATCGTTGGCCAACTCCCAAACTGTGTTCAGGTTATCTTTTTGTGTCAAATTACGTAAGCAGCTCATAAGAGTGGAAACCATGTTGTTGGCTCTGGACGATGGAAAAACAAAACTCGTTCAAAATGAATGGTGGCCTATAAATGAAAGCCACTAGCAGAATTTGAGCTTGATATATGTAGTGTTAATAATCTTGATGCTCTTTGCACCAATCATATCACACCAGTATTCAATACTCATTTGTAACAAACATCCTCAGAGGAACTGAGAAAACCGACTCGACATACTAAAAAATTAAGGCTTGACCTCGTAACTGTTCTATAAGTGGTTTGATCGGGTTTGCTTATAGCCAATCAGACTCCAGAATTTTGTTATAGCACGGATTTTCCTCTCAAGACTTACTGAAGAATTCTCGCTCTACTGAGTTGTTCAAAAAAAAAAAGATCAACCATATATATGTCATATCGGACTTCCACATTGCAACCCTGTAAAACTGTATTCAGTTATCCTTTGACTTATCTGATTATTTTCACCATGTTGGCTTTAAATAGCAATTATTCCATTCCATGTCATTCGTTTCTAATTTTCAATAAATTATGCCCCAGTCATTGCTGGTAGCAATGAAAGGATCTCTCAGTCTGGTAGAATATACAATCATATAGTCTTCTTATGTAATTTTAAGAGTCGGAGGTATGCAAAATACCTTATTCTCCTTTACTGTTCCACTATAGGTATTCTTTAATGTCAGGCTGCTGGAAGGAAAACCCTGAAGAACGACCGACATTTGATCAACTAACAACAACATTGGAAAACATGATGACAAGAGACTGTCCTTATTTTGATTTTAACAAATTTAAAGAAACCAGTGCTTAAGGTGGAACCAAAACTCTCCTAAAACGGCACTGGGAAGATGAAAAACTTTTGCATGTACTGTGAATTCTAAGATGCTTCCGTTTTCCCATGACGATCAAGGCAGTCCTTATCGTTAATAAGGAACACCTGTGTTGTCCGATAGTACGAAAATTACTTATCTTCGCTAGTAACGTTATTCGTCTCTAATTCATTTTCCTTTGTGAACTTCTCACCAAGATTTGTTTCTAAGAGTCGCAGTAATCAGTAAAACAGCGTTAAGCAAAGAGATTCATCTTCTAGGCTATGGACGATTTTTGTGAACTGAGACAATACCGAAGTTTTCTTTTCACAAAATTGCATGAATTTGTATTCGCAGTTTAACCCTAACTTTCAAGTCAATGACGAGTGTTTCAGGCTTCTTAACTTTAGTTGTTTAAATTAAAGACAAGTGGAAGGATTATTTGTACACTTCGCAGTTTTGTCGTAAAGACAATAAATTCCAAGTTTTTAACGTTCTCAGTATTTATGGTTTAGTTACTTGAGGCTCTTGTTTTGACTATTGAAATTACGTGCTCCAGGTATTTTGGGGGAAAGACCGTTATGATGTTCGACTGAACTTTGTTAAAAACGGAAAAGGATTGAACTGTTGGAAAACGAACGAATACAAAGCTCATTTACTTCGGCGCAGTTTTGAATCTTGTGCGGTCAGACGGCCCCTTCCATGGTCATAAGATGTCAATGTGATCAGGGTATATTGTAATCGTGTGGTAAATTTTAACACAAATTCATACATTCATTCATACAAATTCATTCATTCATACACCCAGAGCAAAACATTGCACCCATTTAGAGGGCTTTTTTTTTACATTGAAGAACGTTATCCTATAGTAGATAGGCCACCGTACCTCCCTGCCCCCCTTCCGAGCTTTCATTTACCAAACGTTAATACGAAAGAGGCTGTTTCAGCTATCGTAGCCTCATGATCCAGTGGACATCGCAAGTTCTAGGAACGAGATTAAAAGACCCTCTGAGGTTTGCGCAGGGTCTTGCGGCTCTGGAGCGGACACACGATTTGACAGGAACCCATCCATCACTAGTGATGGGCTCCTGAAACAGAAGTAAAATTCTAACCGGAAGTTGCATACATATGGTGCTTACATGTACGTGCTTTGATCGAACGGTTTTCCTGAGATATCAACCAATGCTGTTGTCGAAAAGGAACCAACGTTGCATAAGTAGAGGTTGAAGAATTTTGAGTCTCCCAATCTGTCTCCACACAGGCAGGCGTCCCAAACTTACGAATCGAGGAATCGATCAAATATTAAGAGGCTGTCCGCGTAGGAACGGATAATGCAAGGGTTGGACCTTCACCGATTTGCCTCATTTTTTCAGTGAAAGTCAACCATTGTATCCAATGCACAAATATCGAGGAATCGATCAAATATTAAGGGGCTGTCCACGTAAGAACGGATAAGGCAAATTTTGGACCTTCACCGACTGGCGTCATTTTTCAGGGAAAGTCAACATTATATCCAATGTACAGATATTGCACTTATTTGGATTAATTCAATTTTTTTTCATTTTCTGCGAGACTNTTATGATGTTCGACTGAACTTTGTTAAAAACGGAAAAGGATTGAACTGTTGGAAAACGAACGAATACAAAGCTCATTTACTTCGGCGCAGTTTTCAATCTTGTGCGGTCAGACGGCCCCTCCCATGGTCATAAAATATCAATGTGATCAGGATATGTTGTAATCGTGTGGTAAATTTTAACACAAATTCATACATTCATTCATACAAATTCATTCATTCATACACCAAGAGCAAAACATTACACTCATATAGAGGGCTTTTTTAACATAGAAGAACGTTATCCTATAGTAGATAGGCCACCGTACCTCCCTGCCCCCCTTCCGAGCTTTCGTTTACCAAACGTTAATACGAAAGAGGCTGTTTCAGCTATCCTAGCCTCATGATCCAGTGGACATCGCAAGTTCTAGGAACGAGATTGAAAGACCCTCTGGGGTTTACGCGGGGCCTTGCGGCTCTGGAGCGGACACACGATTTGACAGGAGCCCATCCATCACTAGTGATGGGCTCCTGAAACAGAAGTAAAATTCTAACTGGAAGTTGCATACATATGGCGCTTACATATACGAGCTTTGATCGAACGGTTTTCCTTAGATATCAACCAATGGTATTGTCGAAAAGGAACCAACGTTGCATAAGTAGAGGTTGAAGAATTTTGAGTCTCCCAATCTGTCTCCACACAGGCAGGCGTCCCAAACTTACGAATCGAGGAATCGATCAAATATTAAGAGGCTGTCCGCGTAAGAACGGATAATGCAAGGGTTGGACCTTCACCGATTTGCCTCATTTTTTCAGTGAAAGTCAACCATTATATCCAATGCACAAATATCGAGGAATCGATCAAATATTAAGGGGCTGTCCACGTAAGAACGGATAACACAAATTTTGGACCTTCACCGATTGGCGTCATTTTTCAGGGAAAGTCAACATTATATCCAATGTACAGATATTGCACTTATTTGGATTAATTCAATTTTTTTTCATTTTCTGCGAGACTGTTTTCAAGGTGACCTCAAAACAGGCTAATTTGCCTTGGGAGACTGACATTTAGCTGTAAATGTCCGACGCTGCCAAGGCACAGCTTTTTATTCCAACAAGCTGAATGTTTTACATGCAAAAGTTTCACTTTTCTTCGTTATTTTAAAGGTTTAACAATTATATTCTGTCAACGTTTGACGGAGTTATGATTTTTTTAAAATACCTCCTGCCGAACTCCAGAATGTGCGAAGCGTAAAATACCAAAAGTTAAAATGTGGGACCTGATCTACAAGTCTATGATGACTCAAAAGTAATACTATCAATGTAAAAATGTATAGAATAAAATTTGTGGGCACTCGCCACTGCGCGCCGTTCAGAGCTCCACGAATTTGCCAAATATTCGCCATTTTGATGATAAACAAAGATAACGACGGTCGTACCTGTAACCAATATACGGAAATGCTTGCGCAAATGCTTGGAAATAACATAACCACCACAACAGGTCAAATTGTGGATTTTAAAAAAGATTTTCCTCGGTTTAGCCGTTGTTTTGCGAAAAATCTACCTTCATTCGGCTTTTTAAATAGTACAAACGATGATTACCTTCCCACCATCGATATGCAAATTACTGTAGTCGGATGAGTCTGTTTTGCTATGGGTCGACCGACTACTACATTAAACAGCCCTCTGTAAATATACGTTCTAGGGAAATATTTGCTCTCTTACCTGAGAGAAAAAATATCCACTCCGCCTCTCAGTAAAGCTTTCCTTTACGTCTGGAAGCTTCTTTCATTTCCACGTTGCGGTAACGCAATGCCAAAGCTTCACTTGTTCGTTTCACTTACATGAATGAAGACGAGATTTTGTCCAAACCCTTCTCTTCATTTTTTTTTTTGGAAATTCAAATGAAGTACGGGCGCTTGCAACCCCTTTAACTCCACCAGCAATGTCACTGACGGACATAATTCTCCCTTAAAACTGATCAACGCAACAAAACGGGGAAATTCAAACCTGGCTGACGTTAAATTATACCCATCTTGCCATGTCTTGCCATGTCATGCTTGTATCCAACAGGTAAAGATTTCCAAAAGTACAGATCTTAATTGGAGGTCATTTTGTTTTATTTGAGAAAGATTTAAAAATGGATATCAAAAACACTCTATAATTCAAGCAAGGTTCACAGCACGTATTCCAAAGCAAGTTTGGGCTGTCAATAAAAACTACTTATACCCATCTTGCCATGTCTTTTTTCATATTTAAGCCGATCTTTATTAGCTTGTATCCAACTACATTTCATGTAAATATAGGTACCGTTAAAATTGCTGCCCAATACAAGGAGTCTTCCTGTAGCCCAGTGGTTACATTTCCGAGCTTCGGTTCGGAAGGGCATGGCGTTCAGACCCCCGGAGAGGGACTCCGCCTTTTTTTTTTTTCTTATATTTCTGTTGGACTTCTTTTATGTTTCATCGTACAATCTTCCTTTTTTCCATTTTGAATCAAGTTAGGTGTTAAAGAAACCATTCAATGAGGAAATAAAACCTGACTGACAGTAAATTACACCCATCTTATCATGTCTTTTTTCATTTAAGATGCTCTTTATTAGCTTATATCCAACAGGTAAAGATTTCCAAAAGTACTGATCTTAATTAGGAGGTCATTTTTTTTTTTATTTGGAAAAGATTTAATAATGGATATCAAAAAATCTCTATAACTTAAGCAAGGTTCACATCACGTATTCCAAA